GTGGGGGGGGGGGTTATAAATAAAATATGCAACCAGGGCAAAAAGAGAGGTTGAGAGAAAAGAGGACAAGTTGGAGGAAAGAACTGAAAAACAACACAGTGTCAGGACTTTTAAAGGAGCAGCACGTGTAAAATGAAAACAGTCCTACCTGCTGACGGGCGGGTGAGGTCGGTGGGAGGAAGAAGAGAGGACAGTCCAAGGGTCCTGAACGGAGGCGGGGGTGTGGTCCACGGTCTGCCTCAAAGCAGGGCTGGAGGGTTTTCCAGCCCAGGGGAGGAAGGATGGAGTGACAGGGAGCAGGGAGTCGGGGAGACTTAAGGGGGAGGGGGGTGAGTCGCCTGCTTCTTGATTCCCTGTTTTTTCCTCCCCCTGGTTCCTTCTCCTCCGATGTACACAAACTCTCTCTCTCTCTCTCTCTCTCTCACAGCAGAACCAGAATCACTCTGCGAGTGGAGCCACAGAAATAGTCCTCACATTTACACACTCCGCCACAGGGGGAGGAAAGGGGGCAGATGCCCTCCCTCTCTTCTCCAGGCAGCCAATGAGAGGCAGCGTGGAGTCGTCAACGAGCCAATGAAGGCGGAGACGTTCTGAACCCAATAAGTGCAAACGCTGAAAACCTGTCACAATAATCACACTGGAGAGAGAGAGAAGAAAAAAAAATCTGTCCAAGTTTCACACTCCGGCCACTGGGCAGCGACGTAGAGCCACTAGACATTAGACTGATTAGATTCTGGGCCTTTTAACCCAGAACAATATCCCAGCATGCTTCACTCCAAACACTGGCTCAGTGGCTGAAACAGAAGAAAGAGAACAGTGAGTGAGACAAAAACACAAAAAATGAACGAAGGTTTTTATGCTAAAGAAATAATTAAGTCATAATTAATTATAATTAATAATTACAGCAGGTGTAAAGACTGTGATTTTTTATGAAGTTCTCTTTGCAAGAAAACTTGAATTATCGAAGAAGAAGAAAAATAAATCTTCATCAACAAATATTTATATTTATCGGACAATAAGAAAGATCGCAACTAATATTGTAGCACCGAGGATGTATTAGAGAAGTAGCCGTGTTCTCTTACCCCCCCCCCACGGACCCCGTACAGATGTAAAGGACAGTTTAGTCGAACGTGACACTGATACACCCGCAGGAATTGAAGAAAGAGACACACACACAGATCTTCTTTAACAGCTGTGAATATGTTGATTCTTACTGTTTTTATAGTCATCTGCTGCCACCTAGTGGAAGCCTATTTAATTAGTCTGCCTGGGTTCAACTTAATCAGCAGTAAATCAATAATAGTTTTCAGACCAAATGGATCATTTACACGTACCACTCATGTGCCGCGACCCAGTGGTTGGAATGTCAGCAGAAAGGGTGCCGCGACCCAGTGGTTGGAATGTCAACAGAAAGGAGAAAAAAACAAAACAAGAAAATACAGAGAGAAGGTAGAAACCGTCGATGGTCACAGGTTCAAATCCCGGCTGTGATTACCTCAGACAGTGGAAGGTTCTACCTCACAGGAAACCTTGTCATTTACCGTGGCACGGTTCTACGGCGCGGCGCTGGTACTGTGTCTGCGTGAGAGAGAAAAGGACATAAAAAATTCATCAGCAGATGGAGGTGGATGTCACATCCCATCTGTATCCAGCTGCTCTGACGGCCGCGGATGGCACCGGGCCGCGACCCGGGTGGACACAGAGGTGTCGGTGGAAAAATGGGTTCAGAGGTGACGTGTCACGGTGCGTTCAGGTACTGTTTGATTGGACTTTTTGTGTGGTATTGTTTAAATTAAATAAACACTTCCTGTGATGTCACACATCCTGCGTCCAGTGATTGTGAGTCATCTCAGGGTCTGGGACGGGTCTCGACCTGCCGTCACCTGATGAGGCAAACATTGAATCGGTTAAAAATCGATACAAATTTTGTGACACTTCCCATGGTTGAAATAAACAAATAAATCGAGCATCGAGGGGTAAGGATTAGGTCGCGTTATCTCAAAAAGTCACTGGTCATTCCATGACACTACCCACTCTGGTACAGTAGGTGGCAGTATGCACCTAAAATCGTTGGTTGTGACGCACTATTAAACTTCCCTCCGTAGGATAAGTGACGTTCAGGTGTTGAAACAGAACGTGGGAAAATCGTGAATCACGTCGTATCGTGAGTTGAGTGAATCGTTCCATCCGTTCCGTCCAAACCTTGAACCACGATCTCCTCCAGGTCTCCATTAGAGACAAGAACAAGTACAACTGACAGGCGGTCCAATGATTCCCCCCCCCCCCGCCCCGCCTGCCTGACTGCAGACCTATTTTGGCCCACTGCACCACAGCAGCTACAGTCAGAGCTGCAAACAAAGGTAATTTACAACCAGCATGTGTAATTACGAGGTACTGGTGTAAGGACGTGCGAGTACTTGTCACAGTAATACGTGGAAAAAGTTTCAGTTTCCATCACATACTGAGAAAACAACCAGAAAATAATTTTTTTTTTTTTTTAATATTTCAGCTGTAGTATTCACTCAGTACACAGTACACAGTACTCGTGTACAGTATCCAGGTGAAAACAGCAGCTGGAGGGATCAGAGTACTGGATGAAGGATGAAGTATTTAAAGAGTACTTAAAGCCTCTCTGTACAAAGCCAGGAATATCCTCTCCAGATAACATCCTTCCTCATGAAATATTTACAGTCAGGAGGGAAAAAATAGACTTAAATGCCAGTCGACTCGGGGGGGGTGGGGGCGGGGGGG